GATTTTTTTAAATTTTTTTACTGGACATGTTTAATAGAAAAAAGCGAAAAAAATATTGTTTTTTTCTCAAAATTGTTGGTCTTTTTTGTCTATAGCGCAAAAAGTAAAAAAACGGACAGGTGATAAAATACCACCGAAAAAAAGCTCTATTTGTGGGAAAAAAAGGACGTAAATTTAATTTGGGTGCAGCATTGCATGACCGTACAATTGTCAGTTAAAGTAACGCAGTGCTGTAACGCAAACAATGTCCTGGTCAGGAAGGGGGGTAAATCCTCTGGAGGGCAAGTGGTTAAGACTCAATAAGCTTGGTAGCACAGCAGCTTAGTAGTTGGCACTCCTGCCTTTCAGCACTAGGGTCCTTGGATTAAAACTCAACCAAGACACCACCTGCATAGAGTTTGCATGTTCCCCTGTTCTTGCATGAATTTCCTCCCACACTCCAAAGACATGCTGGTAGGTTAATTGACTCCTTTCTGAATTGACCCCAGTATGTATGTGAGGCAGGGACCTTAGAATGTAAAATTAATGTGCAGTATGTAAAGGGCTATGTAAATTGTCAATGCTATATAAGTACCTGTACTAAATAAATACACTGAATAAATAAATCCTTCACCTTTACTCACATTAACTGTACATCCATATTATGGAAGCTGAGATCTAAGATTTCACAAGCAAAATCTAATTTAAAGAAAATCTGTAATTAGAGAAGTACAGGGGTTAGATAAAAAAAATGGACACACTACATGATTTGCAGGTATGAAAGCGACAACATGTTTCAAGTTGAAAGCAGAAGTGATATAACATTCTTTTGCTTCCGCTGTGTGATGAGACACCTAGCTGGCAAGTGGGAAGTCTCACGTTCATCATTCATTGCATGCGCTGCTAGTAATACAGAGTCATATCACAGCTTACTGAGCTATAAAGACGGCAGATTGTTGGTACCTGCTTAGTTGGTGCCTGTGATTGAAGTTGCCAATTTATTTGCTGTGTTACGGCAATACAGTACAAAGGTTATGGCGGCATATACAGTTTCCAGGAAAACGTCGTCTGATAAACATAACTGTGGTCAACATGGTTAACTGACTGAAAGAGACAAAAGGACATTGCGCAGGATTGTGACCCGGAATAAGAAAACAGCTGCTGCAAAAGTCACTGCAGAGCTCAAACTCAGGCTTTTTAGCAGACACAAACACAACATAACTTGCACAATCCCTGCTAGATCTATAAGATAAAATTGTATTGAGTTAATAAATAAGCATTCGCATGGCTTTAACCTGTACAGTGTGAATCAGTTTGTTTGTTTGTTTATGTGACTGGAGCTGTGCACAAGCAGCCTATGTTACATTGGCGGCATTCAATGACTGTATGAACACAGCCACAGGCCCTAATTTGACAGATGTGTTGGTCACATTAGGACCTGTGGCTGTATTTGTGCAGCCCCTGCATCCACAAGGAGTAACAAGCAGCTGCACAAACAAACCACTCATTCACACTGTATGAGAACCTGTGAGAATGAGCCCTTCATTTTTTTTTTAATTATTATTATTATTATTGTTTAAAATTTTGAAATTTATATTTATTTTACTATGCGGTTGGGGTTTGGGGAGGGGGGTTTTGGTGAAATGTCAGGGTTCTAAACAGAGCCCTGATATTTCTCTTTTAAAACAGAGAAAAGGATTGGGGACATAGATCCCCAATTCTTTCCCTGCAGCCTTAGCTGCACTGCAAGGTGAATGAACAAGAAGCTCTCTCCGCAGAGGCTACTGTTCATTCATAAAATGAAGCTTGGTAAACATAGTTTGCAATGCTTCAGTTATGAGTGAACACAGTGAGTGATGTGTTCATTTAGGAAAGGAAGGAGCCAGTAATTGTGACATATTTACTGGCCCCTTCCCTCGCTCTCCATCCTGAAACATCCCCCTATGTGTTGTGAGTGCTGTGTACAGCCAGTGGGAGGAAGAAAAATGAAGCGGGCAGCACTGTGGGGGGCACACAGCATGGCAGGCACACAACAGAGGGCTCACAGTGTGAGACCTGGGCAGCAGGGGGAAAAGGATGTGGACAAGGAACCGATTCCCCTGCAGCAGCTGGATGCTGGCTTCTCCTCCTCCCCCTAAAAACATCAAATGTTTTTAGGGATGTTAATCCCTATAGAAAAGAGAATTAATTTATAAATCAAGTATGGTTAAATAAAAAAAATGTATGTATTGTACTGTTCCTTTCCTTCTTTTGTTCTCCCTCTTCTTTCTTCTATTCTTTCTTCCCACCCCCTTCTCACTTCCTTCTTACTTCCTTTCCTTCCTTCTTCCTATTTTTCCTCCCTTCCTTCTTCCTCCCACCAATCTCTTTGTTCTTTTCCTCTTCCTCCCTTCCTACTTCCTCCCACCAATCTCTTCATTCTTTTCCCTTTTCTCATTTCCTTCTTCCTCACACCAGTCTCTTCTTCGTTCCTTTCCTCTTCCTCCTTTCCTTCTTCCTCACACCAATCTTTTCTTCGTTCCCTTCCCCTTCCTCATTTCTTTCTTCCTCACACCAATCTTTTCTTCATTCCTTTCCCTTTTCTCACTTCCTTCTTCCTCACACCAATCTCTTCTTTGTTCCTTTCCTTCTTCCTCACACCAATCTCTTCTTTGTTCCTTTCCTTCTTCCTCACACCAATCTCTTCTTTGTTCCTTTCCTTCTTCCTCACACCAATCTCTTCTTTGTTCCTTTCCTTCTTCCTCACACCAATCTCTTCTTTGTTCCTTTCCTTCTTCCTCACACCAATCTCTTCTTTGTTCCTTTCCTTCTTCCTCACACCAATCTCTTCTTTGTTCCTTTCCTTCTTCCTCACACCAATCTCTTCTTTGTTCCTTTCCTTCTTCCTCACACCAATCTCTCCTTTGTTCCTTTCCTTCTTCCTCACACCAATCTCTCCTTTGTTCCTTTCCCCTTCCGTCTTCCTCACAGCAATCTCTTCTTCATTCCTTTCCCTTTTCTCACTTCCTTCTTCCTCACACCAATCTCTTCTTTGTTCCTTTCCTTCTTCCTCACACCAATCTCTTCTTTGTTCCTTTCCCCTTCCTTCTTCCTCACACCCATCTCTTCTTTGTTCCTTTCCTTCTTCCTCACACCAATCTCTTCTTTGTTCCTTTCCCCTTCCTTCTTCCTCACACCAATCTCTTCTTTGTTCCTTTCCCCTTCCGTCTTCCTCACACCATCTCTTTGTTCCTTTCCCCTTCCGTCTTCCTCACAGCAATCTCTTCTTTGTTCCTTTCCCCTTCCGTCTTCTTCACACCAATCTTTTCTTCTTTCACTTTCCCTTCTTCCTGTCCTTCTGCTTCCCTCCACTCCATTTTTCCTTTCCTTCTTCTTTTCTCTGATGAATCTTCATTTAAAAAACCAAGACTGTCTTCCAACTTTTGGTTGTGCAACATCTGTCTACATCACAAAGCCATTTCCCCGCAGCTGTTGTTTCAATGCCCTTATACAGTTCCCACGTAGCCCATGCAACTAGTGGGTGGCATTTTGGAAGGGTCAGCTAATTTCCTTCCTTTCTGCATGATATGTAAAAAAACATTGGTATTAAATGCCCCTGCTAGAGATGCAATTCATTATGAGACACATGATCCATTGTTACACATTGCTGCTTTGAATACAGGAGTTATTCTCTGCTGCTCCCTGCAAATCATAAGCTAACGACGAGGCAGAAGAACATGACCTTGTCTCTTAATTGTCTTTTTAAGATATTTATTAAGACTTTTTTCAACTGTATATACACGGATAATTATTGCGGTGAAACTGGGGTTTAAATTATTTTGCTCTCTGGAGTTCTGCTTTAAATCTCAGTTTCACCACATGAAAGAAACAATGGGTTAGCCCACGTTATATACTTTTAATTTTCCAGTTGATCTATTTGACGCACAGCTATGAATGTTATTGCATTTTGCTGTAGGAAGCAGTCCAGATGTAACAGCAGAAAATATTTATGTTCTTCAGTCACAGGGAAATGAAAACCATAATGAACAGAACTGCCAGTTAGTATCATTGTGCCGGAAAGTACTCACTTCTGAATATGGGCATGATGCACAGTCAGACCGAGTCTATCTGATACAAGCAAACACAATAAAAGACTGTCAGAATTACACAGTGTCTCAGTTATTATAGCAGAACTAAATAAAATTCCACTTCAGTACAGAGTGTGAAAAATGGCAGACTTTATACATGGCAATACAAGGCGGCTTAGCGCACCGAGGAACTAACATGCTAAAGGCACATTTAATAGGGGTTGTATAGACAAAATATAGAAACAATTTAGGGGTTTATTGCAAGACATGGGTCTCTCTCATTAACCACTTCCAGTCCGGACACTTTCACTCCATTCCTGTCCAGGCCAATTTTCAGCTTTCAGTGCTATCATACTTTGAATGAGAATTGCGCGATCATGCAACACTGTACCCAAATGAATTTTTTAGCATTTTTTTGAAACCGATAAAACTTTATTTTGGTGGTATTTATTCACCACTGGGATTTTTTTTTTTTTTTTTTTTGCTATATAAATGAAAAAGTCCAAAAATTTTGAAAAATAGTTTTTCTTATAAAATTTTGCAAATAAATAATCTTTCGTCATAAATCTTGGCCAAAATGTATTCAGTTATATTTTTAGTATAAAAAAATAACCCAAATTAGTTTATAACCAAAAATTATAATTAAAAAAAATAATAATAATAATTTTACTTTTATTTTTTTATATTATTATTTATGTGTTTTTTTTTTTTTTTAACATACTGTCACCCTAGCAGTACAGTGTCACCATAGTGACACTTTACTACTTGTGGGGGGTGATGAAGTTTTTTTTTTTTTTTTTTTTTTTTACACTGATTGCTTTTACACCCATAAAGGCTGCAAAAGCAATCATTTTGAGAAATACTGTGAGAGCTGTGATTGGTCACAGCTCGTCACATAGTACAAGACTGTTGTGATCATTCACAGATTTCACACGTAGTAAGCAATGATGTCAGAAGTGACATCTTGCTTACTACTATTCATGTGATCACCGATTCGTGATCTCTGTGCCACGCACTCCCAGGGAGAGCGCACAGGCTACAATTGCGGGCGCCGTCCAGCCGTTTATATACATGGGCTGGATGGGAAGTGATTAAAGACAAAACCTGATCTTCTGAGAATACCAATTTCCTAGCAGTGTCATTAAAACCTTCTAAGTCAATGATCAGGCAGAAGCATGCAAATTACAAAGTTAGAACTCTTAATTTTCTAACTCATTAGAGGCCAGCGATTTGAAATATTGAAGCCACTGGATCCTCATGACAGCATTCAACCAGTATTTTTAAAAGGAGAAGTCATCACTTGCAATGTACAAATTCTAAAGTTCTCTACGGTATAGAGAATGGTTGCCTGACGTACCCAAATTTTATTTAGTTCAGTATTGAGCAGGGGTTGACTGACAACTCATGGGGCCCCCTGGGCAATAGGGGATTATGGGGCCCCCGTGTCCTCACCCACACCCAAAAAAGCCTATGAAAAAGCCAATGAAAGGTACCAGGGGCATCTCATGGGGCCCCCTACTGACCCTGGGCCCCGGACAGTGCCCAAGTGCTCAAATGGTCAGTCCGCCCCTGGTATTGAACCTCTTGTTAGGCCTTTATATCTTATTGTGTCCCCACTAGGAAGATTCACTGCTGTTTGTGCTGGTGACCATTATGACCAGGGCTAAAAGTGACGATAACCAGAACAGAAGAGGGAAATCCTTTAAAGATGCCACTTGTTCTGGTGACAAGTTTCGGAGATGGGATTTTGCATACTCTTTTCTGTTGCTATCACTTCCTGTTGTGTGTACAGGACAAGAAGTGAAGGGAAATCTCCCTAAATTAAGAAAAGATATTTAAAAAACACACTGCTCCCTGTGCACTGGCGGTCAAAACAGGTTCCCACTGTACGAGAGTGGTTTCTTAGGGTCATCAGGATTGCGGAGATGGAGGAGCTGATTTCAGTGGCAAAAGAACACCCCGAGAGATTCAGGAAGACTTGGGCATGTTGGAAACACTTTCAAACCACCAGTATTTATCGTTTTTCTATGAATGAATGAGACGAGATTCAAGAACACAAAAAGGTAGGTATTTCACATATAGGTATGATTGTCTTTCACAATAAGAACCCTACATTTCCCGGCTACGGACACAGAAGAACTGCACGTCTTCAAATGATATATTGTACTACGCTTCATGGTCCCATTATTTGATTAATCCCTACGCATTAGAGCAGCATCCACTATAATTCTCTAGACTACCTATTATAATCAGTACTCTTTTTTTGGTTTAGTTTACTCAACTACTACAATGTGATCTTTTGTATCAGGGTAATTCACACTTCAAATAAACAACTTATGACCCGTCTGCGCTACGGGAGATTAAGACAGATGTTTATGCGCGGACTGTGCTCCGTATCCGTATATGACTTGTTATGCCTTTCTTTTTTCAAAATAAAACTTTTTTTGGAAAAAAAAAAAACACACTACTGTTTCCAAACAAAATTGGCTTTAGATATTATTTTAGTGGCAAATCCTGTTTTGAACCTGTATTTCATAATCCTCCTCACTAATCCCTTCTATATGAATTTCAAGCCACTATTAATCAAAAAAACTGGATAGTTTCCTGGGCAATTCATCTTGAGTTTTTGATGAAGAGATGAAGTTATCTTTAGGGAAAACCTTGTGTCAAAGGGATCATTAGATCCAAAGAACCTGCTTAGTGTGTTATGTGACAGTTTGAATTTTCCTTTACAGTTGAACTTGGCTGTACCCTATCTTACCTCTTGAGTATGTCTCTTGGTCAATTAAAGTGGACCAACATCGGGGTATGAGGCAGGAGCGGTAAGAGTGACAGAGCCAAACTCAACTCCACTTGAAAAGGCAATATTTGCTTCTATCTTTAGGTTCCTATTTACATCAACTTTATTTTATTACAGGTACTTCTATAGCACTGACAATGTAAGCAGTGCTTTACATATATATTGTACATTCGCATCAATCCCTGCCCTCAAGGAGCTTACAGTCTAAGGTCCCTAGCTCATATACATATACTATGGCCAATTAACTTACCAGCAATCTTTGGCATGTTGGAGGAAACCAGTGTACCATGAGGAAACCCATACAGGAACATGGAGAATATGCAAACTCCTGGTACGTAGTGCCATGGTTAGGATTCAAACCAATGACACTGATGCTGCAAGGCAGAAGTGTTAATCTCTCACTGTGCTGCCGCACCTACTTAAATGGTTAGCACTTTTGCCGAGCAGTACTAGGGTTGTTGGTTTGAATCCCAACCAAGGCACCACCTGCCTGGAGCTTGCATGTTTATCTAATATAGGTACTTGTTTAGCACCATCAATTTATGCAGCACTTTACATATACAGTGGGGATCGAAAGTTTGGGCACCCCAGCTAAAAATTTGTATTAATGTGCATAAAGAAGCCAAGGAAAGATGGAAAAATCTCCAAAAGGCATCAAATTACAGATTAGACATTCTTATAATATGTCAACAAAAGTTAGATTTTATTTCCATCATTTACACTTTCAAAATAACAGAAAACAAAAAAATGGCGTCTGCAAAAGTTTGGGCACCCTGCAGAATTTATAGCATGCACTGCCCCCTTTGCAAAGCTGAGACCTGTCAGTGTCATGGATTGTTCTCAATCATCGTCTGGGAAGACCAGGTGATGTCAATCTCAAAGGTTTTAAATGTTCAGACTCATCTGACCTTGCTCCAACAATCAGCACCATGGGTTCTTCTAAGCAGTTGTCTAGAAAACTGAAACTGAAAATAGTTGACGCTCACAAAGCTGGAGAAGGCTATAAGAAGATAGCAAAGCGTTTTCAGATGTCAATATCATCTGTTCGGAATGTAATTAAGAAATGGCAGTCATCAGGAACAGTGGAAGTTAAAGCAAGATCTGGAAGACCAAGAAAAATATCAGACAGAACAGCTCGCAGGATTGTGAGAAAAACAATTCAAAACCCACGTTTGACTGCACGATCCCTCCAGAAAGATCTGGCAAACACTGGAGTTGTGGTACACTATTCCACTATAAAGAGATACTTGTACAAATATGGTCTTCATGGAAGAGTCATCAGAAGAAAACCTCTTCTACGTCCTCACCACAAAAATCATCGTTTGAACTTTGCAAATGAACATATAGACAAGCCTGATGCATTTTGGAAACAAATTCTGTGGACCAATGAGGTTAAAATTGAACTTTTTGGCTGGAATGAGCAAAGGTACGTTTGGAGAAGAAGGGGCACAGAATTTAATGAAAAGAACCTCTGTCCAACTGTTAAGCATGGGGTTGGATCAATCATGCTTTGGGGTTGTGTTGCAGCCAGTGGCACAGGGAACATCTCACGAGTAGAAGGAAAAATGGATTCAATAAAATTTCAGCAAATTTTGGATGGTAACTTGATGCCACCTGTGAAAAAGTTGAAGTTAAAGAGAAGATGGCTTCTACAAATGGATAATGATCCTAAACACACCTCAAAATCCACGGGGGATTACATCAAGAGGCATAAACTGAAGGTTTTGCCTTGGCCTTCACAATCTCCTGACCTCAACATAATTGAAAATCTATGGATAGACCTTAAAAGAGCAGTGCGTGACAGACAGCCCAGAAATCTCAAAGAACTGGAAGACTTTTGTAAGGAAGAATGGGCAAAGATACCTCAAACAAGAATTGAAAGACTCTTGGCTGGCTACAAAAAGCGTTTACAAGCTGTGATACTTGCCAAAGGGGGCAGTACAAGATATTAACTCTGCAGAGTGCCCAAACTTTTGCAGACGCCATTTTTTTGTTTTCTGTTATTTTGAAAGTGTAAATGATGGAAAAAAAATCTAATTTTTGTTGACATATTATACAAATGTCTAATCTGTAATTTGATGCCTTTTGGAGATTTTTCCATCTTTCCTTGGCTTCTTTATGCACATTAATACAAATTTTTAGCTGGGGTGCCCAAACTTTTGATCCCCACTGTATATTGTACATTCATATCAGTCCCTAACCCTCAAGGAACGTACAATCTAAGGTCCCTAACTCACATTCATACATATACTAGGGACAATTTAGACAGGAGCCAATTCACCTACCAGCATGTCTTTGGAGTGTGGGAGGATACTGGAGTACCCAGAGGAAACCCACGCAGGCACAGGGAGAACATGCAAACTCTAGACAGGTGGTACCGTGGTTGGGATTCGAACCAATGACCCTAGTACTGCCAGGCGGAAATGCTAACAATTTAGCACATTTGTGGTGCCCTGTTGTGCCTGTGTGGGTTTCCTGCTACACTCCAAAGACATAATGGTAGGTTAATTGGCCCTATTATGTGTATGTACAGTATGAATGTGAGTTAGGGACCTTAGATTGTACACTCCTTGAGGGCAGGGACTGATGTGAATGTACAATAAAGTAAAAGTAAAGTGCTGTACATATAAGTACCTGTAATAATAGTATGTAAACCGTCACCTTGTGATACAACCCATTCAGTTTGAAATGAAAGGCAAAACATTTGTATATAGATATGAAAAAACATTATAAATACCTTTTTTCCCTATTTTATAAGTGACCACATGCTGTACCCCTTAAGCCTTATGCAGCTGAGAACAGAGAGCTGAAGGAGGAGAGACAGCAGCATGCTGAACATCCCAGCAAATGGCTATGCAGAGGCGGTGTGTGAGCAGAATTGTGATCATTGGTGGAGAGTACACTGAGTTCCCAGCACAGCTAGAGAACTGACCATGCTGTGCTCTCATGTCTAGTGTGGTCAGTTTTTAATAGGAAAGCAGAGGGAACTAACAGAAACACAAGGGGTTTCACACAAAGGAAGCAATACAAAGAAAACAGGATAGTTTAACATTAGTGATAGGCTTTATGTTCGAGTTGAATGTAAGTTTGACTCCAACATTTGCCATTCGTGTGTGTTCGCTGAACACATGAATGCTAAGAGCGTTCAGCGGGCTGTTCACCCGCCGTGCCCCACAATGCTCTGCACTCTGACAGTGTATTTTGATTGACTAAAGGAATGCACCTGACCACGGTGTTTTGGAGGAGGGGAACTGCCCTTCCCCAAGTT